ATTAAGTTCGTGTTTATTTTCTGACAAAGAAAAGCTCAATAGCACGAGTAAATAGAAACGATGCGTTTAAAATTCTTTAGATGTATGTAGTGTTTTGTAAATTAATTTTACAACTGATTTAGATGCATGTAAATTACATGAACAACGTTTTTATTTGCTCGTGCTATCGTCATAAGAAACCACCTTTAGTGTTACAAGAGTGTCAAAGCAAAGGAGAAATCTAATGAGTTCGTTTCCATTGCGTTCATGTAATTTACATACATCTAAAGATATATCTTTAACCAAAAAAAAAAATACATCTAAAGATAATAACAAGGAGCAGCTCAACGGCCTCTAAAGTTATGGGCTTATATATAATTTGATAACCACATAAAACTATACATATTGTCTCTTCCATTTAAAAAATAATAAAATAATTCCATGATTTTATTTGTCAACATAATTTACTCTATGTTGATAACTTTTATGGTTAAGTAACGTACCAGTTATGATTTTTGGTTTCCTTTTTCCACTTGAATATTGTTTTCTTATACTGTAGTACTAATTAAGTAGTAACGAATAAATTTAGATATGGCATTTATCTGAAGTAAGAAAAATTAAAAGGGTTTTTGGGAAAGATAAATGTTGATTAAAGTACACTTAATTCAGACAGATTAGTCTTCACGGCGACGTAGAGTCGTCCGGCGATTGCATGCTCCAAAGAAAAAATTAAATGTATTTCCCGTGAAATATTTGAATTTGATATATAATTGAATGCTAATCAATAAGCAGAAGCCTCAAATTCCGATGAGTCTTATGCCAATGTGGTTCTAGTGTCTCCCCAAATGGGTTCCCTCAATTAATTTTACACTTTCCAATCAAATTATAGCAGTTACCCTATTTTCTTCCTTCTAGAAGATCGCTAAGTCTCATTTTCACTGTTAAATTAATCTTAGAGATTAGACATTAACTGCGCCTAACTAAAGACTAAAAGAAGAGTTGATCAAAGTCTACACATTACCTAACATTCTCTGTTCTCCATGACTCCATGCATCCATTTAAGGGACACTTTACACTTACCATCCTCCAAGTCAATGCTACTATTGTTCAATTTACCATCAGTATAATTTAAGGCTTAATGAAAGAGTTTAGATCGTAGTTTATATATAGTACTAGTTCTATATACAAATATTAGATGTGATGAGAGTTTAGGATTGGAAGAATATTATATTTACTCTCATAAAGATGAATGTACAAGGTGGTTAATTACATTTATATAGGAAACGTTAAACCTAATATCTAATTAATGTAATCACATAAAGATATACACAAATCAATATAATTATATTTTCATAATAACGATGATATTATAAGATCTTCTAGATCTTTCTATACGTCTCCTCAAGCTCAAGCGAGTAATGGAGAAATAGCGGAATATGCGGCTTGAGATTGATTTGGATTTATCGATGAAGACTTGGCATATTCGTAGGAGATGTTGACTTTACATGGACTGGAAAAGCACGTTTAGAACAAGAGTCCATTAACCATATGACTTTGTGGGCTCTTTACCATTGATGGACTGATGAAAGTGGCATGGAAGATAAGTGGCGGTGAGTACGACATAACATAACAGAGAGGTGGTCGACTGGAGCGGAGGGTCGATAAGGGAGATATCCGGTGGCAGCGGCTTTGGCGTTGGTATTGGTGGAAACGGAGGAGTAGAGATCTCTCGGCGGTGGTGATGGAGATCTTCTCCGATTGTGATAAAGATCATCTTACCGTGGGGAAGAAGAACCCAAAAACAGATGGATTTTTTTTTTCTTTAAATGAAAGAAAAAAAGTGATAAACAATTTTTTTTTAATTAATAAGAAGCAAGATTGGCTTAGAAAACAGAAGCTCTATTGGCTTGGGAGAGATAAACAAGAGACACGAAGCATGTGAGCTTATGAAAAGATCGATGGCTTAAGGAAGCTCTATGATTTGATAGGCTTAGAAATCGGAGTTTGATAAAATCTCAGAAACACTTTGGCTTAAAAAAAAAATTGAAAACGAAGAATGAAATCGAGGTTTGAACCTCTATGGCTTGAAGAAGCACTATGGCTTAAAAGAAGCTCTATGGCTTGAAGAAGCACTATGGCTTGATAAAAACAACAATAAAAATTTGGAAGCACGTAGGCTTAAGAATTAGACGAATAAGAAAAACAGAGTTTGATCGTTAGATCTAAACTCGAGCATAACCTGCTCTGATACCATATTAGATGTGATGAGAGTTTAGAATTGAAAGAATATTATACTTACTCTCATAAAGATGAATGTACAAGGTGGTTACACTTATATAAGAAACGTTAAACCTAATATCTAATTAATGTAATCACATAAAGATCTTCTAGATCTTTCTATAACAAAATCATTTAAAAACTCACATTTGTATGTAAATATGCTTTTTTTGTTTTTCTGCTAAGTATTTGAATTTAAATGTGCTTTTTAAAACAATTTAACATCATCAAAACACAAAAGGGAATGGCAAGCATAAAGATTATGAACTCATATGAACTAATACTACATGTTATCTTGATATGTTAACACTAAGAGCATCAAACAAACAATAGAAGCCTAAAAAGGTACATAGGTAGTAAAAATCCAACTCTGATTTTGAGAATTCGCACACGACTAGAACCATTCGGTTATAATTGGTAGAGAAAATGGGTGAAACATCATTACTCATTAGTATACGTCCACGTAAATATATTTTCTTTTACGATAACTTACGTGTTTAATTTATATTCATAATACTTTCGGTTCTATTCCGTATTTTGCTACTTTCTTTATGTTTTTGTTGTGGTGTTGAAATACAAAAAGTAAATTTTAAATTCACTTCACACTCTCCATGGTTCCACATTCTTCTCTTGTCCGTAACCCAAAAAGAACATTTTAACACACGCTTTGCTCGTACTTCACTTTTTTTGTTTGTTCACAATCTTACCGTTATATATATATTTTTTTTGGTAGAGTCTTACCGTTATATTGTAGGGTCTTTTT